TTTCTTTTCAGAATCTCAAGTTACATCTTATCTCGTGACGTAGTTTGGTGATTTCCGTAATGTATGTCCTATCCACTTCCATCGTCATTTCCTAATATCCTCTTCAACTGGAAGCTGGTTTATTCTCTCCCACAGTAAAGTATTCCTGATGGTATCCGACTAATGGACATTAAATATCATGCATAGATAATTGTTTATATTCTCATTATTATATACGGTATACATTTAAAGTTACATAATGATTTCCTGTAAGTCTTAAAAGTTATCAAAGTTTTTTTTCATAAAATTAGACAAATTTCTATACTAAACTTTTAATAACTAATAAGATTAAATGGAATGATATAATAATCTATTTGAATAAGTAATTAACATGGTTAAATGAACCTAAATTCATTGTACATTTAATAATATATGAGAACACTAGATCATTCCTTTTATAAAGTTAAATAATGTATGTTGTATAGACGATAGTAGTGAAATCAAATACAAATACTGGAGTCTAATAAAATTTCTGGACACTTGAATAATTCATTAACTATATCAATGGAATTACCTCCTGAAGACTAAAGAGGATTATTGATTTTTTTTAAATGATCATAGAACTAATTAAATTAAACTCTGTGTACAAATTATTTGAAAGGAAGAAATGCTATTCATCCTTCACTCTCTAATTATCTATATAATTAAATATTATATTTATGGGATCATCGGTTCCTTAGATTATCTTTAACTTGTTTATGCATTCAATGGAAATGAGTTCAATATCAATGTGTCCCTGTTTACTTGAAATCTAGTTGAAGTACGTAGATGACATTTATATCATTGCAAAAGGAGGTGAATAAGACAAACGTGTTTAAACTATCAACAGTGTATCTGATAAAATTAATTTCAGTGAAGAGATTTTATCTGCTGACCATAAGCTACCATTTCCTGACTGTTTGGCTGGAAGAAAGTATTAAAATTGTCTAAAATATAATATATTCTGAAAACTAATATATTATGGGGAATATCTGGACTACAAGTTAACAAACGCCCTATCTGCAAAGGTGTCATTTGCTAAGAACTTAATAGTCAAAGTTCAGCAACTAGTCACTGAATCGAAAGACAAGGAAACTGAGTTCGATTTGGTCGTGTCAGATTTCATAACTAATAATCATCCTACAAACTCTGTGAAGATATTTATAAATGAAGAGGATGAAAATTAAGAGGAACGATAAACTAAAAGAATGGATTAATATGATAGTGGTACCATGTCCCAAAAGAACTTCCGGAAAGATCACAACAATCCTGAACTATTATAGTATAATAGTATTTTCCCGAACAAACAATACTCTCAGTTTTAAACTAGTATAAGTCAAGGACACAATACCACGAAAACAACAATAAAATACTATGTATAGGATCAAATGTAATGCATTGAACAATATATGTGTAGGTGGGAATTCATGGTAGCTGGATGTAAGGGTGAAAAAACATAAATTTTGATTGAAGAACACAATTAAACCTTCAGAAAACTTCAATAATCTAGAACAAAAAATTAGTGAAAGCACTACACTCAATAAAATCTGGACGCACAATCGACTTCAGTGGAACAAAAATACATCAGAAAAGTTTCAGTTTGTACAAAGAAAGATTGGGTTGACAGCTGAAGCCCTACATTAATGAGTTAATCCAAACAATATAAATAGAAGAGATGGATTACGATTAACTGTACGATGGTAATTCGTCTCACATTTTTTAGAAAACATATACTTCCATTTGTTTTAACCAGTTAACTTGTCTGGATGTATGATTAGTAACCAACTTGTTTAACGCAACATGAACTTACATTTATTTATCAGTATAGGATTCTGGAGATTGTTAAGTTTAGATTGATATCATGAATAGATCAATGTCAGATCACCATCGAAAACCTGGAAGCACTGGATGGCTGTTTCAACGATCCTTCATGCGGGATTCGAACCTAGGACATCCAGTCACGTGCGCGAACGCTTAACATCTAGACAATTAAGCCGGCATCCAACGGTGTTAATGTCTAGCTCCCACCAATCCTCAATATTGCGTGATCGTTCACTATTGTCTTTAGTGAGTAACTACCTTCACAACAGATCTGGTTGAACTCAACTAATCACATTTATTTATTTGTCTATTCTAATTTTATGCATGATGTGATCAGTTTAATTTATAACATCAATCAAATTGTCTAATTTTATCAATGAACATGAATCTAGTTGATATTTGGCTAAATTATTTCTCTTGAAGAAGGAAGCTTGACCCAAAATGCCAAGTAAAATGTTGAATATATTTTTTTATTTCAATCACAGAGATCTTTATAAAAGCAATTTCCTTTCTAAATACTAACAAATTAAACAATGCAAACAATTAAAATGTCATTATTCTTAGAAAATTAGTTAAGCATATATGATCATAGATAGATTTTTGTTGTTGTTGTTGTTGTTGTTGTTGTTGAAGGAAGCTAAAACCCAACCTCAAATTAAGCATTGTGATCTCTTTAATTTGTTAATGAAAGTTAATTAATGAATTTAAAATGCTTCAGCTGACAAAAACAACTAATATCAATCATAAATAATCTACATGTATATTCTAGATAATCTTTAGATTGGGTTTTTTAATAAAAAAAAACATGGATTACATTTTACTGGTCAATTAGCTTAAGTAAGTTTTTCAAATGATCATTTTAAATTCACTTGGTATTGTTTGCTTGTTGTTTAGGAATACAATTGATCGGTCTCTTATTGGCACATGTGCATCCTGTGCGAATTGCCTCGATATTGCCTTCATTCACAAGTACTATAAGTAAAGATGGATAGTGGTGAGCAGTGGAATGCAGGACATCTGTTTCGTCCTATTGGGGACCCATCAACTGAATGTACCTGCATCTCAGAGTTGACGTTCACTTAGGGGATCGAACTCGGTATCGTTCGCACGAGCAAACAATACCAAGTGAATCTAAACTTCACCCTATTGCACAAGTAGGTTACTATCAGGACTCAGTAGCTAGATGGATAATGAGATGAAGTTTGAGGCCAATGGTACTGGGTTCGAGTCCCGGAGTGAACATCAACTATGGGATGCAAGTATATCCAATTGACGAATCTCAGATAGGACAAATTTCACTACTAGCCACCATCCATCTTTACTTATAGATCATTCTAAATGAATTAAAATGGACATTATAAAGCATCACTTAAAATAGGCAAACTGAATCGCACATTTACTTGCTTATTTTTCATGTTGAATAATGAAAAAATGAAAAAATCTAATAATTAGAAGAAAAATGATGTGGAAAAGGCAACTGAATTGTTGGTTTGTTTTCTCTCCCCCTTTCACTGTTTCTGAGTTTTTTTTAAACAATAATTAATTGTGTCTGGTTGGTCATTAAATGAAGTTTTAATTCATAAAGAAACGTTAATTAAATTAGTTTCTCTATAAATTCTCTGTAAATTCTATCACATATTGATAGAACTTGAAAAAAAGAAGAAATAATTATGTGAATAGATGTCGTACTTACAAGGAAACTTTGAAAGTATTGGTGAAATCCCATGTTGTATTGTTCGCACTATATTTTAGTCCTCATACCAGTAATAAATAGATGACCTATAGTATTAGGCCTTCTATTATCCACTATCTGATCTTAGTTCACAAATAAGAATGTCTTCAAAAACTGACATTATATATTGAAACTATCTCGTGAGGTAACGTTTTCAATAAGTAAAAGAATACTAAACGCTATGAATCAATTGCCACCAATGACCACCTTGATGTATAAGCTCGTAGAATTTTAAATCATTTTATTTATCCCTAGATAAACAATCATTTCACACTTTCAAACCATTACAGTGAAGTGCATTAGCTTTATTTCTTTCGTTAACAGTCTGATTTTAAGCTACTTTACTGTTTGAAATTCATCATTAAACTTTAAAGCTTTTAACTCTTATCTATATTTCTGGCTTAATTAATCCATTTCTATAACTTGTAATCTACAGTTTGTCACAAGCATTTTAAGCAAAGATGGATGGTAGCCAGCTGTGGAATCCAGGACGCGCGTCTTGTCCTAATTGTGACTTATCAGCTGGATGTGCCTGCATCTCATAGTTGATGTTCACCCCGGGACTCGAACCCAGTACCATTAGCCTCAAAAGTCACCTTGTTATCCACTTAGCTACTGAGTGCTGATGACCACTAACTTACGCAATGAGATGAAATTTATATTCACTTTTTATTGTTTGTTTGAATCTTCCCATTGATGTTTAGGAATGTAATTGGATTCCACTGCTAGCCATCATCCACCTTTGCTTATAATGTTTGTGACTTAAGGCAATACTCACAGTATGCATATATGCCAATAAAAGACTGATCAATTGTAATCCTAAACATCAATGGGATAATTCAAACAAACAATACAAAATGATAAATCTACATTTTATCAGATTACATAAGAATGTCCCAGAAATCATAAATACAGTTGATAATAAATTCTTCATTTTCTTTTTTAAATTTCACATTTACTAAGTCTGTGATACAAAAACTATTCCATTAATTCATCAAGATTTTACTATAATACACGTCAGCTAAGTAACATTTTACACTTCAAATATCATTCTAAATTTCTTTTAAATGAATAAATGAGATTTTTTATTAAAAAAAAATTTAATTAGTATGCTCATTCAATCATAAATAAGATAAAGATGATTGAAGCGAAAAATTATTTCTTACTGACTAGATAATATAGGCGTATGTCCGAAAATATACAAAGTAGTCAAAACATTATTGATTAATTTGGTTCCAGATGACGGTAAACCATGTCATAAATACATCCCATTGAATGAAACAGTATAAAATTGAGTGAATAACTTCAGTATTTAATGTAAATACAATAAATATTTCACAAACTATTACACATACCAGTTGAATTATGATATTTTTTTCATTTTAAAAAAATTTGATTAGAGCTATGTAGTAGTCATAGTTTATATACACTAAATTAATCGGATGAATTTTCCTATGTTTGTGTATGATGATGATGATGATGATGATGATGATGATGATGATGATGATGATGATGATGATGATGATGATGATGATGATGATGATGATGATGATGATGATGATGATGATGATGATGATGATGATGATGATGATGATGATGATGATGATGATGATGATGATGATGATGATGATGATGATGATGATGATGATGATGATGATGATGATGATGATGATGATGATGATGATGATGATGATGATGATGATGATGATGATGATGATGATGATGATGATGATGATGATGATGATGATGATGATGATGATGATGATGATGATGATGATGATGATGATGATGATGATGATGATGATGATGATGATGATGATGATGATGATGATGATGATGATGATGATGATGATGATGATGATGATGATGATGATGATGATGATGATGATGATGATGATGATGATGATGATGATGATGATGATGATGATGATGATGATGATGATGATGATGATGATGATGATGATGATGATGATGATGATGATGATGATGATGATGATGATGATGATGATGATGATGATGATGATGATGATGATGATGATGATGATGATGATGATGATGATGATGATGATGATGATGATGATGATGATGATGATGATGATGATGATGATGATGATGATGATGATGATGATGATGATGATGATGATGATGATGATGATGATGATGATGATGATGATGATGATGATGATGATGATGATGATGATGATGATGATGATGATGATGATGATGATGATGATGATGATGATGATGATGATGATGATGATGATGATGATGATGATGATGATGATGATGATGATGATGATGATGATGATGATGATGATGATGATGATGATGATGATGATGATGATGATGATGATGATGATGATGATGATGATGATGATGATGATGATGATGATGATGATGATGATGATGATGATGATGATGATGATGATGATGATGATGATGATGATGATGATGATGATGATGATGATGATGATGATGATGATGATGATGATGATGATGATGATGATGATGATGATGGATTATAGAACAGTACATCTATGAGTGTGTACAATTTTCTCACTGTCTTAATGTGCATGTTCATTAGCGGCCTTTAAAGTTTGTAGTAGACAGATCTGTGAATTACTAGTACATTTATTGTATTCAATACTACTATTTCTACTTATCGTAATATTTTTCGTTACATTTTTATTTATCTGTGCCATAATTTTCCGATAACTTCCTTGAATTGTTTTATGTGATAGGTATACCTGTTTAAAATTACTTTACATAGTTACTGATAGTCACTTCATTTCGAAATGAAACCTGCAAGTAGCAGTTGTATGCTGTACATGGTCACGAGAGTCTGTTGACTCCATATCACTTTGTTTCAATCTAAAACTATCTTAATGAATAGTAAATAAATATTTTAGATATATATCTCCCACTATATTTAAAAACAAATTTAAAATGACATTTTCATTTCTTCGAGCTACTTTTATCCCTTGCATGATAACTGAAAATAAAACTTTACACCTTTATGTCTGCGATGTAAGCATCGTGATAACCTTGTCCTTCCCTGTACAATCGTACAGTATGGTACCAAACGAATAGCGTCACCAGGCTATACAAACAATAAACTATTTGAAAATATTCATACATTTAGAGAAGAAATGTGTTCATGCCAAACAAAATACGTGTTTTTGTCAAATTAAATTCAAAATTCTCAAACATTCAAACGGTAACAACCAACAATTTGTACAAATGTGGTATTGTGGTGTATATTACTTAAATTGTTTATAGCAGCAATCGGAAATGGAGTGCCTGACAGTAAAAAAATTGAGAAGATTGAATTTAAGAGAACAGTAAGGGAAACAGAGGGTAACTGGAATAACAAGAGAATTGAAAGAATCATGAAGTATGTAGAAAACAACTGATGGAAGATGTACAAATGATGTATTTGATTTATGGTTTTCATATTTTACGAAGGAACTACGTAATTTTACATTAAATAATAGATTGGTTTACCCTACCTAGTTTTCGTTCATTACAGTTCCATCAGGCTGTAGAACATTAAATAATTAAATTTTATCGAAATTATGACCATAGCTACACCATTATATGGTGAGTAGAATCTTCACATGTAAGGATTATCATTATTATCATTGTGAAGTATGAAATTTGTATTAGGCTGCAGTTAGTTCCTGCTAAATCATGTTGACAAAAAATCTCACATATAAACCTATTTATATATTTTCACCGACACTGTCATAGTCTGAGAAGTAATCATTTAACTTTCGAGTACTTTTTGGTGTCAAATTTATACACCCTTTACCCCATAAAATGATTTGATTAGAATGTAATGTATATTTATATTTGAATGTGTTCAATTTAGAACGGTTTAGTTCCGAACACTAAAATGGTAATGGATATTATCGAACATGAATGTGGCAAGTTGTATACCAGTTTCATGAAATATAAAATGTACTAACCCTACCTATCTGTTATAAACGTTAGTATTGAAACGATTAAAGTGAATGAAAGGGAAATCGTATTTTGTTTATTACATGATGTACATTTTATGCACAACAATCAGTTACTTTAATAAAGCAAAATCAAAAGTTTTGAAGCATCAATGTAAACTGGAAATTGTTCATGTTTCTTTTGGCACTAGTTCTATTATCATTCATTGATTATCCATTATTTTGTGTTTTATTGTGAGCTGAGTGTAGTTTGCCTTGTAATTTTCAGCTTTCACAGTATTCATAAGCACTGCAATTGTTATTAATATATTTGCTTAGTTTAGTAATTCTCATTAAGATTCGAGTTTTTCCATCCATTTTATATTTTTATCTATCGTATTGCAAAACTTGTATTTTACTAATCAGAGCAGTGAGCAATAACTGTGGGTTCATATATCATTGAATAATTAATATCTTACTATTGTCGAATTGTCTGTCAAACTTCGTTACACGTTTTCGACTAATTTATTTATTCCGTGCTTTACTTTCGTTTTATTCTAGGTTATCCATAAATATATCGGCTAAGATAGGCCCTAGTGGTGATCCCATATCCACTCCATCGATTTGTTTGGATAGTTGATTGTTGAATTAAAAATCAACCCTTTTCATACAAAGTGGTAATAATTTTCCCAATTCATCTTTAGGCCTAGGAAGTAATTTAGAATGTTCTCAAATTATATTATTAGTTTCTTCTAATGGTATACTCGTTAATAATGAACACACATCAAATGATGCCATGAATTTATCTGATATATCCAATTGACTCATCACTTTGGAAAACGGAAATACGTCTTTTAAACTATGGCCTCCAGTTTTATACGCACAGGTTCTAATAATCTGGCTAACTACAGAGCCAACTTTTATTATGGCGAGTTCACTATAGACATTATGGGCTTGAACAGAATGCTGGATTTGTACACTTTAAGGAGACCATTTACAAAAGGCAGTTGTGATCCTTTACCTTCAGATTTCTGTAAGCTGAATTATGAATCAGTTTTCTTTCACAAGTTACTTAACGTATTTACTGACTCTATACAATTGTTGCTAAGGTATCCTTCATAGATTTGTCGATTTGGAATCTTGAAGCATCGTTGGGAATTCAGAACATTTTACACACATAATCTTGTCAATACTTTCTTACAACACAATAACCTTTATCTAGTCTTATTATAATGACCGTATCATTCTTTTATAAATTCTTCAGTGCTGAAGTATGTTATTTCATCAAAAGTTTTGAATGTGGAGTTACAGAACTATAGCACTGATTTTTAAAATTTATCGGTATTGATTTAAACCAACCTTTTACGTCTTCATCTATAGGTTTCAAGTTGCTAATTTGTTGGCATAGGATTTCAAATCGCGTTTGTATATCAATTTTGTTGACATTTTTTTATAGAATATGAAATTTAAATCCAGGAAAGAGAACTTGACTTTCAGTTTCGTTATGCCATACACTTGACAGATTATGAACAGATTTTTTCCGTGAAGGTGGAAGTTTGATTGACAGAAATAGAATATCATTTCACGCACGGTGACTTTTGTTTTTTTCTCCAATAAATTTTTTTTCATCCTATTTCATCCAATTAAACGATTAGTTTTAAATTGGTAATAATTGCTTATTTATCTCTTAAAATTGATATAAAGTGTAAGTACTTGTCGACAGAGCACCTCTTCTTCAAATTGTGGACGTTAATAACGCACAAAGTAAAAGCTGTATCTTTTTTTACGTTGTCACAGACACGGATTATATGTTCTTGAGTACATTATATCTTCTAACATTCCAATCACTTGAAGCGTTGAAGAGGTCCATCAGAACCTATGAAAGGGCAACGTACTGCCATTATGCGGTGTGTGGTCCTCATGTCCATAAGGATCAGAAGCCGTATATTAAATTTGCATGTTGGAGAAATTGCCGTAGAATACCTAGCGGTTCCTCACAGCCGATTAGACGAAGGAGGTCATTTGAATAATGTTATTGTATTGTTCATGAAAGACTACAATGAAAAATCAATATCTGGCTTTTGTCTATTGTAAGTTTATTGAAGGGTCCTGGACTGTCGTTCGTGGGAGTGTGCATCACAATCATGAGTGCGATTCCTTGAGGTACGACAACAATTCCTGAGTGAGTAGGTTAACGGAGGTGGAATTTGTAACAAACTGTGTGACATATGCAATCTTGCTCAGCCGCCAAGTGAAACGGCTGTTGGAAGCACTAGAATTTTTGTCGCTGCAATGTAATGTTTTGCTCGTTTTATGTCAGAGACCCACAACCACAATTCCATGGATTTCAATAACCCATTTGCGGCGTGATAACGGAATAACAGAGGCATCATTGTTCAGGACAAGTGAAAATGTTAAGAGATCGAGTGAAGGCCCTCTTTAGGGCCACTCACAATTTAATTTCAATTATATTTTCTCAATTCGTTACAAATCGTATCAAAGGATTTTGTTAATCTCATTCCATATGCCTTCTCTATTTTTCAAACGACGTTTCCACCACCATTGCGTTAAAAAAAATTCTCAGTAAAGTAGATTAACAGTTTCATCTCATACGTTTCGTAGTATTTCTGTAGCTCATGTATTCTTCAAGTACGAAAGTGTAAGAAAACTTTTAGCCTTACAATCACCAAATTTTTATTATCTGTGCTAAGGCGAATTCATATTAGTATTCTTAGACAACCAATATCGACTATTTTAACATATGTCATTATGTTAACTATGAATTAAATGAACTAATTATTATACTATTTATCAGTGTCTGTGAACTTCTTTCCTACGTAAAATAATTCAGTCAGTACTGATAAAAATGTTTTTTGACCTTAAATTGTTTCACAAGTTGAAATCATCAGCCAATTGAAGCTAGACCACCATGGAAAACCTAGGAGCACTGGACGGCCGTTTCGTCCTAGTATGGGACTCCTCAGCAGTGCGCATCCACGGTCCCACACCACGCGGGGCTCGAACCCAGGACCTACTGGCTTCACGCGCGAGCACTTAACCACTAGACCACTGAGCCGTACACCATTGTCTTCAGTGAGTTCCTATCTCACAACAGACCTGGTTGAACTCCACTGGTAACGACTTCTCACTAGAACTCCAGGAGTGTCTCCTGAAGTCAGTCACTAGTGAGCAGGTGATTATTATTATCAGATTTTTCGAAATTTCACAAGTTGAAATCATGAGCCAATTGAATTGTTTACTGAAAATTAGTAGTATCATTAACGTTGATAAGTTGGAAATTATGTACTGAGATCAGATCTGTGTTACAACAAATTTATTTCTATGGGGATGCTCAAGGGAACTAACACTGATAAATTCTAATCAAGCCCTATTGTGGACAATCTACATAATAAACTAAGAATAATATCTATGTGATTATAACTCACATATTAGTAATACTATTTATGGTTTTTCAAATGTCTATATAATCTTACCTTTTATTGATTTGAACACATAAATATTGGTACAAAATGGGCATCGGATTCATATGTGCTGTGTGCTGGGTGCCCGGACCGAAGCAGATGGTTTTCTTAGGGGGCCACACCCCGAGCCTTTAACCTAAAGGTTTGATACACAAGTATTG